TCTCCTCCAACCAAAACAAAACTCAACCGAAGAGAACAAGAGGTGGAAGACGTGGAGAGAGGCAGTACAGTATATCGTGATAATGTGCTTCTCAATTTTATCAAGTATTTAATAAACAAGCAGAGGAAAAAAGAACAACCCGTCAACATGTTACCTTTGGTAGGAAAAAATATATATATATATAAAACAAAACAAAACACAAAACAAAAAGAGCAACACACACTTTACCAGTCACTGCTCAGTAAGACGGCGATTGTTGCCATGTCGCAGAGATGAACATCCAGTGAGGGGTCTAGGAGAGCAACAAATACAATCAAGAAGTCTAAAGATCCTCATTCCCTTTCCAACAGTTGATGTTTCCAACAAGACCCTTAGAGAATTGCTCCTAAAAGGGTATACCTGCCAGCATTCAAAAATAGATAAAATATTTTTTTTTCCTCTTGAAGAGAAAAAAAAAAGAGAGAGAGACCTAAAGGTCTTTATTTGTAGTTCAGTCCTCAAATAGGTCAGATGAACCAGTAGTTCCATAATACTGAACAACATGGTAACTAACAGTGTGCTTAACTCCTAGTTGGGGATGGGTGGGGAGTGGGGAGAGGTTTGGGGAAGTCACATTGGTAAGGAACACTTGGATTTCTGATTAGGTTTGCCTGAGTTAGAAGGAAATATTTGGTTTCAAGATTTTCTTGGTCAAGGTCAACCAAACTTTCTCCCGGGAGAGATTAGTTCTGGATTCTTGAAAACATTTTCTTCCAGAGGTAGCTCCACGCCCACCCACTCCCCAGTGGTTTAATACTCTTCTGAGACCCGTCAGATGCTAACATGAGGTAGATGACTTTTTGCCAAAAGTTGAGGTAGAAAACCAAACAACAAAACCTTCGGTGTGGAGCGGAGTGAGTGGTGTGCGTGCCCTGTGCTCCTGGCCTGCAGGAAGCCAGAGAGAGAGAGAGAGAGAGAGAGAGAAAAGAGTCGAGACCCTCTGTGGTCTCATCACACAAGCAGAAGAGTTTGACTTTGCTACAGCCCCAGACTGTTGGAACCGCAACAGGGATGTTTTCAATAAATACCTTATTTTTTTTTTTTTTGGCACCGTTGACTTTTTTTCTTTTCTTCCCCAAACAGAAAAAAACAAGCCTATTAACTTTGGCATTTTCTTCCACTATCTACCAGTACACAGCAATCCTTGAATCTCCCCGAGAGGAAGAGGACACACAGACAAACAGTATGCTGCTGCTTCAAGCCTAAAAGACACCCCTCCCTCAAATCATTAAGCTTTGGCTTAACTAGAAGTACACAGACCGAGCCCATCTCAAGCTCCTCTCCGTCAGCTCCAACTCAAAGTGCCTTAAGTCTGGCGAATTTTTTTTTTTTTTTTTTGGCCCAATACATAATTTAAGATTCTAGATTCTGTGTATGGGACCCTTGTGTTTCCCTAAATAAATTAGGCTGAAAAGGGCATCCATCAAAGAGTTTGTGCACCTGGGGCAATGCCCAGGGCACTGGGCTCCAGCCACCTGCCAGCTGCCATACAGCACAGGCTGAGAGAGCAATGCCTCTTGAAGGAATGTTTGTTTGTTTTTTAAAAGCAAATGATAAACACTTTTGAGGTGTGAAGTCAGTGACAACCAAAAGTGGTGGTTGTTGTTTTTTAAATCTGTGCGTTATTTAGATTTCCTTTAGCCATTTCAATACCCAAACCTATATATTCAAATCCAATTGGCTTCTCCAAACACAAGCTGACCTTACATCCCACCCTGACCAGACAGATTAGACACACACGGGGATTATTGTCTAAGCATCACCTGTACTCCATAGAAACATTCTACTCTCCAACCTCCCGGCTCCTAGGACCTCTCATCACCATGTGCAAACCTTCCCTTTTTGACATAATTCCTACCCATCCCTAACATCCCCTCACAGGGGGAAGGAGGCATGCACTTCCAGAACAGCCTCACTCACACGGGAGAGTTCCAATCATTGGCTTTTCTCCTTTCTTTGATCTGGAGCATTCCACATTGTCCAATAATCACATTTCCAAAGTGCTTCGCACCAATCCCTGTGGATCAGGAGCCAGCTGTGGGCGGCCGCAGAGGCCAATGTTTTAAAAACGTCTTTTCCCCCAGTGGGACCGTGTTTTTTGCAAATGGCAGTGATGCACAATTTTGGGGAAGAAGAGATATACCCGCACTGAAAGTAAAAAGAGGCAGCACCACCCACCTCCCAGCTCCTCCCCCTCCCCATTCCAAGGAGAATCTCCTAGACATTGGTCAGTCTATTGATTAAAAGAAGACCTGGTCATTTCAGCCATGGGCGGAAAGCTCTGGCTTTACAATCAAATCCATAGGAAAGTGATAAATAAGCAATTTCAGTTACTGCCCTTCACCAAGAAAACGACCCCCTCAGATCCCAGGATGTCCCCACATGGGGGAGGACTGGGAAGAAAAGATGGGAGCGAAGATGATGATGATGACACTGAACACGGGATAATCAAAGGGAGTCACCACACATGGTAGGCCATCCCAGCCGTTATCATGACTTAAGATTGTTTTCTGGAAACATTAAAGAAGGTTCAAGATCCATTTCTTCAACAATTAATAATAATAACAATAATAAATGTTTTAAGCATCTAAAACAAGTTGTCTTTGGTGTGTAAAGGGTGATTTGTTGGGTAAGGTGGAGTGGAGCTGGGGCCTGAGGAAAAGACAGCACCAAGTTATTCCAAAATAAAAAAAGTCTCCCTATATGAGCTCTTTACCCAAGAGCTTAGACATTGGGGACAAAATAAAAGGCAACTGAATAGGAATGGAGGCAGGATTCACTGTCCAATTCTTCAATAAACGAAAAGGCATTTTTTGTGTTTTGGTTTTTTGTTTTGTTTTTTTTTACAAAATGAGACTTCCTGTCACCTCCCCACCCTGTCACACAGCAAGCTGAGGCAGCAGGTTCAAGTTTCTTTTTAATTTCTGGTTACTTTACTGAAGCTCTTCAAGAAATGAGGTTTTTTTCCTCCTCTCCTCCCCCCTACCCCCATTTTGGTCATTCAGAAACCCTAGAACCCAAGCATTGGGAACCGGGAACTGATCGATTCAATGTCCAGAAAAGCAATTTTGATTGATTGGTTAACACTGTCCCCAACATCTTTTCTTTGGGGGGCAGATGGCAAATGGCTTTGTCTGTCCGCTTATTCTGTTCACTTAAGAACGACATCCCTATTACAAAAGGGGGATTTCTTTGAAATTCAGGAACAGAAAGGGACCCGAGCTCTTCCTGGAAGCCCCTGGCTTCCGAGAGCCTGTGTGTGTGTGTGTGTGTGTGTGTGTGTTTTTTTTTTCTCCTGAGCTGTGCAAGTCTCAAATCTGGTTCTTATGTCCGTGTTGGCGGGAAGTGCAGGGACCCGTGTGGGTTCTGCCAGGCAGGGTAGCGGCAGCCCTACTGGCTTCCCACCAAAAAGACAGAGGTTTTGTACCCCACGTCCAGGTTACCGCGAACCAACCCTGTAAAGTGACCGGCGCCGCCCCACGGTTCTGCTGTGGAGGCCGGCTTCCATGCTCATTCTTTGGTACCGAGGAGGACAGTATGTCCTACATTTCGAAATGGGGCAATTTTAAGTTTACAGATCATTTACATTCAAAGGCCTTTGGGGGGTTGGGGGCAGGGGTTCTAAACAAGGTCTTACGGTAGACCGCTTTGTCAAAGACCGGAGCAGAGGGTGGAGGAGGAGGATGGGCTGTTCCTATGAATCTGACTTCCAGAACGTTCCATTTCCCTGCACTTCCCAAGCATTGGGAAAAAAACATTGTGCTTTTTTTAAACATAAAAGTTCGTTCCCTTGCCTATGACTCTTCTTCGCAAAAGGCATGCTTCCATGAACAGAGAGAACCACATTCAACCGAAACCCCAACCCTCCTGGCAGCGTCCGGAAGAGTTTGGGGGGGGTGGGGGGGGGTGGCTTGCTTCCGTCTCATGCTCCCCCAAAAGACCACCTCGGGACACGCACGTGGCACTCACCACGTCGTGTCCAAAACCCCCTTTTCTGAGAACGAGGTCCACGTTCTTCTTCCGATTGCTTCACTCTTTAAAACCAACAGCAAACTAAGAATACTTAAGACTATTTATAATTATTCTCTCAAACTAAGAATACTTTTGAGAGAATACTTTTCACAAAAAATCCTGAACTACGTTTATTACTTTTTTAGAAACTAAAGTAGGAAGAGAAAGGTTCTTTGGGAGGCTGTGCATCACCTTCAGCGTCCGTTAACCTGAGGGAAGGCGGCCTCACACACACGCCCCTGCCTCGAGAGAGAGACAGAGGGGCCGTGGCCTACACCGGGAACAGGAGTCCGCTTTGCTCGGCTAGCGAGCCACAGCCCCATCTTCTAGGAACAAGGAAAGATGCTGAACAGGATAACAGACACACAAGAGATACAAAAGGAGAACGCAAGGAAGTTCTCCATTGCAGCATTTTAAAAAAGAAAAAAAAAGCACCCCCTACCCCCCCCAAAAAAGATCAAGATCACACAACACAATCTAACCCCATAAACACAGTATCCTCAAGAACACAGATACTCTATAATTAAGCATTTCACATCCTACTTCCCCCATGGTTTATACTGTTTTTTGTGTGTGTGGGTTTTTGTTGTTGTTGTTTTTAACTTAGTAGTTTCTTCCGTGTTTCCTTGGCTCAATCTACAGAGTATATATATATATACCATCAGCCCACCACACCCATCCAGTGAGTGCCCTCCCAGCCAGAGAGACAACAGGCTTGTGCACGTCACGCCCCACACGAAGGGGGGAGAGGGGCACGTGACCTTCACGGAGAAGGAAATGTAAAAAGAGTTATGAGGTAGATAGGAAAAGCATCACTTCACAGGCTCAACTCCCTGCAGAGAAGACGCGTACATTCATCTGTAAAAAAATAACGGTGAGGTAGGACTTAGGCGACGTTGTACTTTCCCTTGTTCTCTTTAAACAAAAGAAAAAAAAAGAAATTTCCCTGAGACTGTTTTCTTCTTTGAAATTCAAAAGGAGAGAGAGAGAGAGAGAGAGAGAGAGACAGAGAGAGAAACACGCACACCCCCCAAACACAAAAGCCTAGAGAAACGGCGATTAAAAGATGAGGATCCGATTGTTGCCGAAGTCGACCACGACCACCATGCCGTCCGGGGTGACGGCGATGCCGGAGGGGCGGTCCATCTGCCCGAAGCCGCTGCCCTGAGCCCCGAACTTGCACAGGAAGCTGCCGTTGGACTCGAACATCTGCACCCGGTGGTTCCTGGAGTCGGCCACGATGATGCGCCCCTCCTGGTCCACGGCCACGCCCTGCGGCCGCAGGAACTGCCCGTGGCCCGTGCCCTCCGAGCCCAGGAAGCGCGCCGACTGGCAGTCGGGGTGGATGACCAGGAGCCGGTGGTTGTTGAAGTCGGTGACCACCAGGTGGCCCTCGTGGTTGAAGGCCACGCCCCGCGGCGAGTCGAAGTGCTTCCAGAGGGCACCCTCGAAGCCGTACTTGTTCAGGAAGGCGCCGTCCGGCCCAAACAGCTGGACCCGGTGGTTCCGCGTGTCCGACACCAGGATCTTGCCCTCGGCGTTCACCGCCACGTCCCAGGGGTAGTTGAACTGCCCGTTCTTGGTCCCCTTCTCGCCAAACTTGAGGAGGAACTGGCCCTCGAAGGTGAACACCTGGACCCGGTGGTTGTCCTTGTCGGCCACCACGATGCGGCGAGAGGCGTCGCAGGCCACGCCGGCCGGCCGGTCGAACTGGCCCGGCCGGGAGCCCAGCGTGCCGAACTTGTGGTGGAAGGCGCCGCAGGGTTTGAACACCTGGATGCGGTTGTTGCTGCGGTCGGCGACCACAATGTAGCCCTCCTTGTCCACGCTCACGCCCCAGGGCCGGCACAGCTTGCCGTCGCCGTCGCCCTCGCTGCCGAAGCTCAGGGCCGGGATGCCGATGCCCACGTAGCTGCGGCCGGACTTGACCACGACCTTGAAGGGGCTGTTCTCGATGTGCTGGTTGCACAGGGTGACCGACACCAGGTGCTCCCCCTCCAGCTGGGGGCGGTAGCTCACCAGGTAGGTGCCGTTCTGCTGGTCGCTCACCTCGGCCCCGAACAGGTTGCCGTCGGGGCCCAGCACCACGGCCGACATGAGGTCGCCCCCCGAGAGGCGGGGCTCCCCGTCGTGGTCGTAGCCCATGACGGTGAAGGTGGCCACCTTGCCCTGCAGGGCCCGCTTGAGGCCGTCGCCCGTGGCCTTGGTGAGCGGCGCGAAGGCCCCGCTGCTGACGAAGCCGAAGGACTTGATGGCCAGGTACAGGGCCTGGTCGGGGGGCGTGAACATGACCCGGTCGTCCTCCTGCGGCTGCAGGAGGCCGCGCACCGTCTTCAGCTCCTGCACCTGGGCCAGCATGCGGTCTCGGGCCAGCAGCACGTCCAGCGCCCGGCCCTCCTCCAGCACCTGCTGCACGGCGCTGATGGTGCTCTCCAGCTTGGTGAGGTTCTGCCGCAGCTTCTCCACCTGCAGGTACAGAGACTTGACCTTCACCTGGCGGATCTTCTCCACCTGGAGGGAAAGGCGAGGGCAAGGGGGAGAGAGGACACAAGAGGCTTAGAGCCACGCACACAGGAAACGCATCGCCCGACGACACCAGTCGGGAGGAGCCCTCGGGCAAGCCCGGGCCGAGGAGACAGTCCACAGAGACAACGGGCCTGTGCGCTCCTGCAAAACCCAACGGCACAAAAAGGGCGGACGAGCCGAAGCCTGTTTGGCTCAGTGGTAGAGCATCGGTCTGCGGACTGGAAGGTCCCAGGTTCGATTCCGGTCAAGGGCATGTACGTTGGTTGCGGGCACATCCCTGGTAAGGGGTGTGCAAGAGGCAGCTGGTCGATGTTTCTCTCTCATCGACGTTTCTAGCTCTCTATTTCTCACCCTTCTTCTCTGTAAAAAATCAATAAAATATATTATAAAAAAAAAAAGGGGGGGGGGGCGGACGAACGGTTGTTCCAGGTGTAAGGGATGACTACCCAGACATAACTCAATGCCATGAGTGATCCTGGATTGGTGGGGGTGAGGGGTGTGAGTGGAGGGGTGAGAGCGGAGTTGTGCTACTATAAAAATACTAATTCTTGCCCTAACCGGTGTGGCTCAGTGGATAGAGCATCAGCCCGCAGACTCAAGGGGTCCCAAGTTCGATTCCTGGTCAAGGGCATGTACCTTGGTTGCGGGCACACAAAAAAAGATAAAGGAGTGTGTGCAGAACAAGGAAGCCAATTGGGGAGAAATCTGAGAATGAATTCTTGGGCAAGGAGAAATAACGTGGGGTTTGTTTGTTTGTTTGTTTTTTAAATATATTTTATTGATTTTTTACAGAGAAGAAGGGAGAGAGATAGAGAGCTAGAAACGTCGATGAGAGAGAGAAACATCGACCAGCTGCCTCTTGCACACCCCCAACTGGGGATGTGCCTGCAACCAATGTACATGCCCTTGACTGGAATCGAACCTGGGACCTTCCAGTCCGCAGACCGACGCTCTACCACTGAGCCAAACCGGCTTTGGCAGAAATAACGTTTATTACACAAAGAAATGGACTCTTTTCTTTTTTCCTCTCCCCAAAATTTGCTTCTCTTAAAGCTCAGGAGCCCAGGTATATGGGTTAATTAGGTTCAGGGCCTCAGGTCTGGTAGGGTTAAGAGTCAAAACTGGCTTTCCATTCCTCCTGAAAGAAAACTGCCTTTGGGAGAGGCGGCGAGCCAGCCTCCCGGGAGGGAGGGAGGATGAGAACGTAGGTGAGACCCGCGGAAGCACACAAAGGCCTTTTCATCGGCAGATCCAGAAGAGTGGGTTTGTGGCAGAGTTCACCACGGCGCTGCTCTCAGGTTGCAGCGAGTGGGCCCCTTTCCGTTAGAATGAACAGTCGTGGGTGGCATGGGGCCGACAGACCACGGGGGCATCGGAGTGTCTGATAACCGTGTCCGGGCGACAGAGGTGCCTCCGTAAAATAGGTGCTGCATTAAAACCTCGGGACTTTTTCCCTCCCAGGGAGCCTTTCTCTTCTTGTTCAAAAAAAAAACAAACAAAAAAAAACAACCAAACAAACAAACAAAAAAACACAACTTGAGCCTTATAGTCCTTGAGAGGCTGGACGAAGCAGAAAGCAGCGAATTAGGAGCCAACGAAATGGGAGCATGCAAAGATCCAAGGGGTAGCCTCCCAGAGAACACTTTAGGGCCACTTCCGGAAACCGAGGTACCACCTCGCTTCCATCCTGCAGCTTGATGATCAAGACAAGCACGCACACACACCTACGCTCACCCTTCGTAGGTGGCCCCACTTGCGTGCTCAGAGAATGTAATTATAGTGGAACTGGCGTGGGGCACGGGCCCCTTCCCAAGCATAGTCCCCTCTTCCCTTCTGAGGGAGAGGGAAGATCGGACAGGAAAACGCTGGGATGGTGACGTGGGTAAGGGAGAGCCAGCTTTCCAGCTGATTTTTAAAAATATATATATATTTTTATTGATTTTTACAGAGAGGAAGGGAGAGTGAGAGAGAATTAGAAACATCGATGAGAGAGAAACATCGATCAGCTGCCTCCTGCACACCTCCCACTGGGGAGGTGCCCGCAACCAAGGTACATGCCCTTGACTGGAATCGAACCTGGGACCTTTCAGTCCACAGGCCATCGCTCTATCCACCAGTTTCGACCCAGCTGATTTTTAAAACATGTATATTTTTATTGATTTCTGAGAGGAACGAAAAGGGAGAGATAGAAAAATCAATGATGAGAGTCATTGATCGGCTGCCTCCTGCATGCCCCCTATTGCAACGGGACACACACACACACACACACACACACACACACACGTCCTTGACTGGAATCGAATTTGGGACCTTCAGGCCGCAGGTCGATGCTCTAACCATTGAGCAACACCAGCGAGGGCTCCAGCTGTTTTTTTGTTTGTTTGTTTTGTTTTGTTTTTTAATCTAAATAGCACACAGTGTGCTCAGCATGCTTTCCCGCTCCCACAGGAAGCAAGGGCACACGCTCACTGCCCTCGCCAAGTGGAAAACGGGCCTTCCCCACGGGTCCAGGAAGTGCAACCGGCCAGGACACCAAACGTAAGGATGTCGCCCACCAGGCCTGCCTTCCTAACAACGGGTTCGACCGTCCGTCCTCCCAGCCTCCTTCGGAGCATTTGTGCCACAGAACACACGCGAGACTCCTCCCAGCCTTGGTACCCGACCTCTTTTCTGAAAGGGCTCCTCGTTATTTTTCTGCCTGGAGAGCACCCACAAGGTTCCAGGGACCCCGGTGACCTTTCCGCCAATGGAACGAACCATGGAAAACTACCAAGCCATCTACATTTGGAGCCGGGGTCCAGGATCTGACGCGGGAAGGGGACGGGTGGTCGTGGAAGAAATGCTGGCCAGCCGAGGAGGCCCAGGCCCGGACTGGGGGTGGGTGGGGGAGACGTGGTCTTCCCCTCTTCCCCCCCCATTACCTTCCACAGCAGCTCGCACTCCCGCTCCTCCAGCGCCTTCTTGTGCCTCGCCGTCACGGCTTTGACCTCCGACTGCACCACCTTGGCCTTCATCTCCACCTGCTCCGCCACGGTCTGGGCCTGCTCGATGCTCAGCTGGAAGAAAACCAGAAACCACATGGCATGGCATCAGGACGCCTCCTGCACACAAAACGTTCAGGTCATGCATCTCCACCACCCCCACCCCCACCCCCACCACCCCCTCAGGGCCCCCCCAGACCGCGCGCGCTCCACTTCCTTGGGAAGAAAGCAGGCACTTAAGGGGAGAGAATGGCATCTGTCCGACATGTAACCGAAGGAGCTGCTGGCAAGCGCCGGGCGTCTCTGTGTGGGGAAATGGCACCTACCCCGGTGAAATGTCAGGACTATTAAGAGCTGCTCCGACAACAGTGGAACCAGTGTAGCTGGGCGGCCGCCGAAGACCGGGACTACGGATCGGATGTGCAACGTGCCTACCCCGGGCACACGGACAACTTCCCTTCCCACAGATGGTCTGGCCTTTACTGCCCACCTGGGGGAACCCTGAGGGCTGGGCCCATCCCATACGGGAGGGGGTACCCACAGCAGAAAAAGCCAGCCAGCAGTGATCCATCACCTTCCTGTCGTGGCATTTCCGGCCAGAACCAACCCCACGTGCATCCTGGGAATACTGGTCACCTCAGAAACCGTGCCCCGTGGATAGAGACCATCCTCCAACCGCCCCCAACCCTGTACCACCAGCTCTAGTAAATCAGCCAGTTTAATCAGACGTATTATTGTTCATAAAAAATTAATCCAGACAGAAGGCCTCGTGTTTTCATTAATATTACATGACACGTCTTCAAAAGGATTTCTTCTGAGACACTGAGGTATTATAAATCAGGGGTTCTAAACCGGCTGCTGCTGGTGCAATAGGGTTAGAGCCGGCACCCCAAACCAGGAGGGGCCTGGGGGAAGAAGCATCAAGGGTTTGGGGCCTGCCGAAACCGGTTTGGCTGCTCAGTGGATAGAGCGTCAGCCTGCAGAATGAAGGGTGCCAGGTTCGATTCTAGGGCATGTACTTTGGTTGCGGGCATATCCCCAGTGGGGGTGTGCAAGAGGCAGCTGATCGATGTTTCTCTCTCATCGATGTTTCTAGCTCACTATCCCTCTCCCTTCCTCTCTGTAAAAAAATCAATAAAAAATATATTAAAAAAAAAAAAAAGTTTGGGGCCTGACCTGAGCTCAGGAATTGGTGACGGGTGACCGGCCATCCCCGTGTACCCTGGGGACGGAGGAGTATCCAGAATATGGAACATATCAAAAACTGGAGCAAACCAGGCTAATGATCCACACAGGCGTCGGGTGACCAGGTCCGAATCCTGGCTCCACCGTCCGCTAGTTGAAAGGCCCTGGGACATGTTCCTGGCCTCCAACCTTGAGAGAGGACTGGGAGGAAAATGCAATAGAATACGTGGAAAGAGCGGACCACAGCACCTGGCCAGCAAGGGTTCTTCCCTAGAACTTCCAGTAAGAGCAGAGCGCAGTCTTGCTGACACCCTCCTTTTGGACTTGTAGCCTTGAGAACGGCGAGATAGCACATTCCTATTGTTTTAAGTCACCCAGGGGGTGATAAGTTGTTGAAGTAGCTCTAAGACAGTGGTGGGCAAACTGCGGCTTGCAAGCCATGGTTTGCTGCTCTGTTGACTAATGAGTTTGCAGACCACTCTCATAGACTACCCTTTACCTCTTTGCACACAATACGCCACAACTGCCTAATCCTCACAGCTTCCAACTACACGGTAATAACATTTAGTCTAGTCCAGTGGTCGGCAAACTCATTAGTCAACAGAGCCACTGTTTGCCGACCACTGGACTAGGGAACTAACCAGTGGCCAACAAACAAAAGCAGATGGATTTGTCCGAGTTATCCCCTACGCTCAAAAACCAGAATGGCCAAGAAAAGCAAATGTGCATGCAAGGAGACAGAATGGGGTTGGTAGATTTCAAACGTCTCGTCTCAGGCTGTCAAGATTCGTTCAGAAAAAGGAGAAACCTCACTAGACATGGAGACACTTTAATGTGAAGACTCTGGCTAACAAGGCATTGGAGCAGGGCTAGGACAAGGGGCAGGCTGAGGATTAGAGATAGACAGTAGTAACTGGGGGGGACGTAGCCACCGACCCAAGAATTTGGGGAAGAAGAAATTGGGGTTTTCCCAGTTCATTCTGGGAGTGACAAAAGCAAGACATGGGAAGCAACTTCTGCAGCCAGGATGGAAAAAAACGCCCCTGGTAACAGTAGGAAGTTAAGAGGAAGAAGCAGGTCCCTCCTTCCCACTTCCAGGGAGTGGCTGGAAGAAGTGCTGCAGCCCCAGCATCACAGGGTGCAGGCGAGAAAGGGCGGGAGGAGAGGAGAACTTAGTGGCGGCGGGCACACCCTGTCTTCAGGTGTGTTGGTTATTCATTAGCACCGAGGTATCATTATCTGACACAACCAAGCCTGTGTCTATAATATCTTTTTTATTTTTAAAATATATTTTATTGATTTTTTTTTACAGAGAGGAAGAGAGAAGGACAGAGTTAGAAACATCGACGAGAAGAGAAACACCGATCAGCTGCCTCCTGCACACCCCCCCACTGGGGTTGTGCCCGCAACCAAGGCACATATGGCCCCCGACTGGAATTGAACCTGGGACCCTTCAGTCCGCAGGCCGACGCTCCATCCACTGAGCCAAACCGGCCTTGGCTATAATATCTTTTTTTTTTAATGTTTTATTGGTTTCGGAGAGAGGAAGGAAGAGGTAGAGATAAAAACATCAATGATGCCGAAACCGGTTTGGCTCAATGGCTTGGGGACTGAAAGGTCCCGGGTTCGATTCCGGTCAAGGGCATGTATTGTACCTTGGTTGCAGGCATATCCCCAGTAGGGGGTGTGCAAGAGGCAGCTGATCGATGATTCTCTCTCATCGATGTTTCTAATTCTCTATCTCTCTCCCTTCCTCTCTGTACAAAATCAATAAAATATATTTAAAAAAAAAAAAAACATCAATGATGAGAGAGAATTATTGATCGGTTGCCTCCTGTATATCCCCCACTGGGGATCGAGCCTGACAACTGGGGATATACCTTGAAATAACCACTGAGCTATGCTACTTGGACCATAATATTTCTCTTTTATTGATTTCAGAGAGGAAGGGAGTGGGAGAGAATCATCAGCGATGAAAAGAAAGCATCAATGATGAGAATCACTGATCGGGCTGCTCCTGCACGACCCCTACTGGGGACCCAGACCAAATCCCCGGCAACCGGGGCATGTGTCCTGACCCGGAATCGAACCATAATCCCCTGGGTCATAGGTCGACGCTCAACCACCGGCCCACACCAGCTAAAGGTTTCTTCCTGTTTCCTCAACGGTCGGCAGAGGTGGCAAACTGCTTTCTATTTTCACCAATGTCATTCATCGTATACCAAACAGATTTCTATAGAAATCACAACATTTGAAAATAGCAAGGCCAACAATACTCGGCAAACTGCGGCTCTCACATGTGGCTCTTCCATAAAATACCACGTGCGGGCACACACATACAGTGCGATTTAAACTTCGTGGCCCATGCGTGGAAGTCGGTTTTCAGCTCTCAAAAGAAATTTCAACTATTGTATCGTTGATATTTGCTCTGTTGACTAATGAGTTTGCCGACCGCAGGGCAAGAACTGGCTGGGAAGGCTATGACCACCCCCTTTGCTTGTGGGTGGGGTGGGGTGTGATCTCTTCCCCTACTGTCCCCTAGGCAAGGCTTACTCCCTCTCAGGCCCTGCCAGATCCTATAAGCCAAGCCCTTGGGTTTAGAACTCCCATTCTCTACCAAGAAACGCTTCTTCCATTTTTCAAGCAGGTGGAAGGGGTGAAAAGCTCTCACTTCACTCTCAGTCACCCCCACCCACCCCCAAGCATGCAAGAATAACATCAATCCTAGGGCTGAGAGTTGTAAAAGTCAAGATGCAGACAAAATGGGCCTTTGCTTTCTAAATTGTGCACAAACCGGTCAAGCCCTGCACTCCAAGATGCACAGCCAGGACCTGCTGAACTCGTCCCTGATACTGAATGAAGGCAGGGCCTTTGACAGAGACAAGAAACAGGTGGGTTGGGGAAGATGACAGTGGGGGAGGGGCTGCGTCAACTTTGAACACAGAAACACAATTTGCCGTTAAAATGAGAATAAACAAACAACCACCAACAAGCATGGGGGGCTTGAATGTTAACCCAGATGCAATCAAACATCTGAAATCGAGGGGCTCAATCTGGGCAAGCGAAATCGGTCGGTGCGTGCCAGCTGACCACTTAGCAGCTGACCACTTAGCACTGAGGCGTCCGAGGCCATACAAGGTTTCCTGGGGCGGAGTGCAGAGAGTGATTAGTGATGTCTGCCATGGAGAACCGGGGTGGCCTAGTGGCTGGTGATGAAAGTGCACCAATAACCAGAAGATAATAAAAGCGCATAAACTCGCAGGCCACCATAGCAGATAATGAAAAATACTCTCGGTACTCATATCATTGTAATCACACTTTTAAGAGCTTGGAAACTGCCGAGGCCGGTTTGGCTCAGTGGATAGAGCGCGACCTGCGGACTGAGGGGTCCCGGGTTCGATTCCGGTCAAGGGCATGTACATTGGTTGTGAGCACATCCCCGGTGGGGAGTGTGCAGGAGGCAGCTGGTCGATGGCTCTCTCTCATCGATGTTTCTGGCTCTCTATCCCTCTCCCTTTCTCTCTGTAAAAAAAAAAAAAATTAATAAAATATATATATAAAAAAAAGAGCTTGGAAACTACAATTCATCTTATAATTGTCAGTACATGGCTCAGTGGTTGGAGCAGACCAAAGGGTCCAGGGTTCAATTCCTGGTCAAGGACATATGCTTGGGTTGCAGGTTTGTTCTTCTACCCTGTTTGGGGTGCAGACAGTGCAGGCAGGAACCAACTGATGTGTCTCTCTCACAATGATGTTTCTTCTCTCTCTTCTTGCTCCCTCCTGCATTGAGCATCTGTCCCTGGTGGCCAGTGTGCATCATAGTGACCTGTCCTTCCACCGTTTAGTCATATTTGCATATTACTCTTTTATTATAAAAGGATCCTTTTATTTTAAAGGAAGGATAGAAGAGCAGCCGATATACATCTTCAAGCCTTCTGGCCCCAACACAAACACAAAATTTGTGCACTGGAGGGACGGGGAGGAGGGGGGGAAGTCCCCCTCAGCTTAGCCTGCACCCTCTCGCAATCTAGAACCCCTTGGGCGATGTCCGACCGCTGGTTTAGGCCCAATCCCACAGGGATCCCTGTGGATAGGGCCTAAAATGGCATTTAAGACATCTCTCACAATCCAGCACCACTGGCTCCTAATAGCTCGCCTGCCTGCCTGCCTGCCTGATTGCCTAACCAATCGCCCCTAACCCCTCGCTAGGGGATGGAGCTGGCCGGGGCGAGGGGCCATGGTCGTTCTGGTCTCTGATTGTTCCATCGTTTCAATCACTGGGCTTTTATTATATAGGATGTTCCAGCCTCCACCCTACCCCCACCCCAAAAGGGAAGGGGGGTAGGGGGGAGGATACCCACTCTTTCCCTGAGGTGCAGGCCTGAAGCCATCGCCACTTATGCCCACCTTTCTCTCGGCACTACGTGGATACGCCCAGGCCCAGTAGCAAGAACGCGGTAACCATGGAGAGAGGGACAGGGCAACATGATTGACAGCGCTGGCACCAAGGTCTGCGTCCCTGGATACCTGAAGCCTGATCCATCCATATTCTCCTACCTGGTCACCTGAGACTATTCATTCCCTTTCAGTCCACTGCAACCAAGAGTCCTAATTAAGACAGCATGGGAAATTTTTAAATTAGGTCATGGTGTAGTGGAGTTCTCCAACCATGATTTTTCTCTGTATCTGGGGGTTGCCATGGGGAGGGGGGCTTGCACATGCCTAAGAGAGGGTTGGGGAGCTAGAGAGAGGACAGCTTCCCAAATGAGAAGCAGTTGTCTATTAGTTTTGGATTTAAACCGCAATTCTATTCACCCTTCGTGTGCCTCTGGCAGGTTACCTGAGGTTCATTTCTTTGGAGCCAAGCCGTTCTCTTGGCAAAATGGGAAGACTGATACCCACACCAGAAAAGCACCACTATGTATGCAGAAAGCACCTATTTCAGAGCTGGGAACAAAGCAGGAAGCTCAGCAAACAGGTCTTGTTGAGTCTCCTCACTGAAGAAACGGGAAGGCCTCTGGTTAAGGAGGTCTGGTTGGCTTGGGCAAAGCGACTAATTTTGTTCTTCCATTTCCATATTTGTAATAGAAAGAACAGGGTTCCCTTGATCTACTTTTGGGGATAAATTAGTTCACAGGAGAGAGTAGGCATTCTTAGCATAGCTGTGGCAACTTCCCATCATGACAAGTAGGAGTGTCCGCAGGGGACCCTTAGTCTGTTAGGATGATCAAAGAAATGATACAAGACAAACAGGAGATGAGGGATAAAATTAATCCAGAAGACTTGATTGACATTTCACCTGTACAACCTAAAACAATGATGCTTTGGCATTAAGCTCAGTTCTCATTTTTGTGCAGAATGGTGTAACAGCTATTACTCTTGCTTTAACATGAAGACTGACCATGTTTATTAATTTTTTAATGTATATATACATTTTTTTTTAAAAAACATGTTTGCCGGGACCGGTTTGGCTCAGTGGATAGAGCATCGGCTTGCGGACTGAAAGGTCCCGGGTTCGATTCCGGGCAAGGGCATGTACCTTGGTTGCGGGCACATCCCCGGTGGGGGATGTGCAGGAGGCAGCTGGTCGATGTTTCTCTCTCATCGACGTTTCTAACTCTCTGTCCCTCTCAATTCCTCTCTGTGTAAAATCAATAAAATATATTTAAAAAAAATGTTTATTATTTCAGAGAAGAGAGAGGGAGAGAAAAAAAAATGATGAGAGAATCATCCATTGGCTGCCTCCTGCATGCCCCCCACTGAGGATCAAGCCTGCAACCCAGGCCAAGTGCCCTTGACCAGAATCAAACCTGGGACCTCTCAGTCCGCAGGCTGACGCTCTATCCACTGAGACAAATTGGCTAGGGACACACACACACAACATATATATATATACACATATATATGTGTGTGTGTGTGTGTATATATATATATATATATATATATATATACACATATATATATATATTATTTTATTTTTATTTTTTTATTTTTTTATTTTTTACTTATTTTTGTTTAGGGAGAGAGATAGAAACATCAACGATGAGAGAGCCTCTTCAATCGGCTGTCTCCTGCACACCCTCTTACTGGGGATTAAGCCCACAATGCAGGAATGTGCCCTGAAGGGGAATCAAACTGGCAACCTTGTGGAGCACAAAGGCAAGGCACCCAAAGGAGCCATACGGGCAAGGGTGACATGTGGTTCTTTAAACTCCCCAGGTGACGGGGTCTTAGAAAGAAGCCTGCGGGACAAGCAGTTGACAAAGTCCTAACTGTAGTGGCATAAAAATGGAAACCACACACCCCTTTATTCAGGACACAGTCATTAGGATAGAACAGAAATAAATCCTAGCATGTACCAGTGAGAATGCGGACACATGCGATGTAACAGCAACCGCAAGACAGAGGCGCTCCGGAGGCCTAATAAGAGCACGACAGAGTAAATCATTCCGGAAATAAGACTCTCAAACCTTCACTTTTAGGACTTGGATACCAGACAATTTGACCCATTAGAAAGATTAACTTCAGCATATTAAAATCTAAACTATCCTTAAACCATCTTCCCTAGAGCACACCATCGGTTCTTCAACCACTTTCTTATAAGATACTTTTAAAAAATATATATTTTATTAATTTTTTTACACAGAGCAAGCGAGAGGGATAGAGAATTAGAAACATCGATGAGAGAGAAGCATCCATCAGCTGCCTCCTGCACACCCCCAACTGGGGATGTGCCCGCAACCAAGGTACATGCCCTTGACCGGAATCGAACGTGGGACCCTTCAGTCCATAAGCTGACGGCTCTATCCACTGAGTCAAACACAGTAGGGCTAAAAGATGCTTTTTTAAACAATTCACTTATTCAAATACTCTAGCATGTAACTAACAATAGTTTCCTATTCAATTTCTGCTCAAGGGTTAGCAGTGTTCCCTGATTTTCCAGCTCAGCCTACAAAACAAAAGGCTAATATCGCATGGTGTTTCTCTGTTCCTAAAGTCTGCATCAGGCACGGAGATTCACAATCAGTTCAGGCACACAGTATGACCTGACTGTGGGAGAGCATAGCTGCGATGCCCCCAAGTTACATGTGTCCCTACCTCCCAAAGAGATAGAAACTAAACAGAAACAAGAGTCTAAATGACCAGGATGATGGGTCCTGATCACACAGGAAAGAGTTTTGACACTCTGAGCCTTATGGGAAATTGCCCATGCTTGCTTCTTTCTCACCACTAAACAAACAAACAAATAAATCTGAATAGCAAAGGTCTCTGTCTGAAAAGTATCAAGCTCCCAGTCCTTCTGGAATCCACCTGGAACTGGGGAGGGGCTGGATGGGAAACAAGACAAGATGCTATGATAGGGGCCCAGGCTAAGTGAATGGGAGCAAGCCTAGACCAGCCATTAACTTCGGGCCACCTCCTCGTCATCTGCACGAGACCAAGGTGGTCCCACCCCTCCCTGCCCCAGCCCCAGGGATTATTGCTGCATGGATATCACATGAGCTCACTTGGGTCATTGTTCCACCATGGCCCCCACACACTGGCGTCTGCCCAGTAATCTGCGCACGCCATCTGAAAGGCAGTGGGGAAAGGCTTTGTGCACAAGGAAGTAGGTGAAGGGTGGGGTGGGGAAGGACTGACCTGGATCGCCTGGCGGCCCTGCTGGGCGTCCGCCAGCAGCTGGATGGTGAGAGCCCGGGAGTCCTGCAGTGCCTCCTGGAGGTAGATGAAGCTGTGGCCTCCGTGCCGGCCCATTGTACACTCGCGACAGATGGGCACCGAGCAAGTGTCACAGTACAGGTGCAGCACCTGGGGACCAGAGAGGGGACAGGCGTTAGTGAGAGCTGCAAGCAGGCTTGGAGTCAGAGATGAAGGACAGCAACAGGGGCTCTGGATCCCAGGCTCCCAACCTCTCCCCCTCTCCTTGCCCCTCCCAATACCTAGCACACATCCGACAAGGGCAGGGAGCAGTACAGTCAACTGTGAGCCCAACTTTTTGCTCTTCTTCCCATCCCGCCTGGTCCAAAGAAAGGCAACCATCATCCCACTCCAGTTTCCTTCAGAAACAAAACTGAGACACTTCAAAGGCAATAATACGCCAAGCGGCCAGGTTATGATGATCTCTAAACGCATAATAATCTGGCCACTCAGGGTATATCCTATACAATAAAAGGCTAATATGCAAATTGTCCCCCTGACCAGGAGTTCGACCAGCAGGCAGGCCGGCCAACTGCCCATGTCCCCTCCCCTCCTGGCCAGGCTGGCTGGACCCCACCCATGCACGAATTCATGCATCGAGCGCTCTAATGTGTGTGTGTGTGTGTGTGTGTGTGTGTGTGTGTATATATATATATATATATATATATACACACACACACATACATACATACATACACTGAGTGGCCAGATTATTATGCGTTCAGAGATCATAATAATCTGGCCACTCAGTGTATTTCCCTGTATCTCAGATTAATTACCCAGAAATATCCGAAGGTGGTGTTTTCCTGACCTGAGATGGGTAGCCCAAATGAAAGAACACACCGGAAATTTCCTCTCACCGCCCCTGCCTCTGGGGCGGCGTGAAGCGAGGCTAGAGGCCAATATCAATCAGCCTCACGCCACAGGTTGCTGCAACCACCACCACCACCACCACCACCCCCAGTCAAGGAGGTTAGCACAACATGCAGAGCACGGTTCTCCAGGCACTCGAGCAGGCTAAGGGCATAAGCTGCTGGAACGACGGCACACACACACACAAAAAAAAAATGGCTAGTGGGGTAAGGTCAGCCAGCTTCTTGTCTTTCTTCTTCCTGCCAAGTTGTCCCAAGGAAGGAGTGGGCCCTGGGAGGCAGCCTGTGCGGAGAGAGCCAAAGTTCTGCATTTCCCTGGGGCCCGGCAAGCTGGGAGGGAGGGAGGGAGGGAGGGAGGGAGGGAGAGCTGGCACCACCTCCACCTGCTGATAAATGAGGAGCTCTCAAGAGCGGCAGCTCCTTGGCACAGAAACTGGGCCAGTCTCGTATCCCTCCACAGAGAGGGGCACTTAGCGCCGCTCTCTATAAATGTTTGCTGGATTGCTTTCAAGAGCAGAGCTTACATCTGCCTCTGGTACACCTGGGTGTGAGGCAAAGCCAGCCAACACGCAACAGGAGGCAGGGGAGTGGTGTCCAAGGGAGTTCACACACACACACACACACACACACACACACAATGCCCCATGCACTCCATCCCCAGATAAAGACAAGAGGTTCTGAGGTGCTTAAGCCTTCATGGCTAGCAAAGGCAGAGCAAGGAGGCCAGCCTACGATGTATTCTTTCCTTTTCTTTTTTAAAACTGGATTCATTGCAGTGGCATGGGTTCCCAACATTCTACAGGCTTCAGGTGCACAATCCTACAACCACCTGTACACTGCACTGTGTGTGACCGGAGACTTCTAAAGCGTTGCTTTCCTTTGCCGAAACCAGTTTGGCTCAGTGGATAGAGCGTCAGCCTGGGGACTGAAAGGTCCCAGGTTCGATTCCCGTCAAGGGCACGTACCTTGGTTTGTGGGCACATCCCCGGTAGGGGGTGTGCAAGAGGCAGCGAATCGATGACTCTCATCGATGCTCATCGATGCTTCTAACTCTATCCCTCTCTCTTCCTCTCTGTAAAAAACATCAATAAAATACATATTTTTTAAATAAAGCGTTGCTTTCCAGCCCATGCCTGGTACTGGCCTCCTCATGCAGAGCCCACGGCACCTGGCTAGGTCTCCCCTGGAGATCCAAGGGGTTCCAGAGCTCACCCAGGCTGAGAAGCAGAGACAGGGAGACAGAGATAAGGAGGGAGAAAGGGCTGGTGGGAGCCCTGAGGCCAGAACACAGAAACAGCCCCAAGGCGAACAGGGAGAATGCTGCTTCTCTCCTTTTCCAGATCACTGTATGGACCCAGCCAAGTCTGGGCATGAAGCACACCCACTAGGAAATGACCTCCCAAGCGGCTCAGCCCAGTCCGCAGGCCTGCTCCACGCTGGGTTAGAGGCAAAGATTTAGAATATTCCGTTCCTACGTTTACGAAATGGCTCTGACGTGGTGTGTTTTATGGAGTCTATACTACAGGAGGGAGACCATGGTCAGGTTCCTACTTTTCTACCACTTTTGCCATCCAGCGAGGTGCCGTTTAGGAGCCATGGGAGACAGAAAACCAACTGTAGGCAATTGGCCTTCTTCAAGACCCATCACTCTTTAAAAAAAAAAATAATAATATATATATATATATATTATATATTTACTGATTTTTCACAGAGAGGAAGAGAGAGGGATAGAGAATTGGAAATATCGATGAGAGAGAAACATCGACCAGCTGCCTCCTGCACATCCATGGGGGATGTGCCCGCAACCAATGTACATGCCCCTGACCGAAATTGAACCCGGACCCCCCCCCCCCCCCCCCGCCCATGTCTGCAGACCGACGCTCTATCCACTGAGCCAAACCGGTTTCGGCTAGACCCATCACTCTTAAAAGCAGGTCCATGTGGAGGTGAGCTCATCTTTCTAATCTGGTAAACCCAAAACCCTTACCTAACCTTAAATACTAGCCATTAGACGCGACACTGGATGCATCTGGGGCCAATTCCTGGGTTTTTTGTGGGTTTTTTTTTTTTTAATGATGTGATGCCAAAGCAATTCGCCCACTGGTTTCAGCCACCTTGCTTCCCTTCGCTCCCTCCATTTGTCATGGGAAGAACGCGATCACCCCTCTGCTAATGGCAAGTGTGAAACACTCCCATCAGAAGGTTCCTTTCAAACTAGAATGAGGCATGCTGGCCAGCCTTCTGTCTGCTGCCCCCCTCCTGCACACAGTGAAAGCAATCTTCTCTACCTCCTCAGGAGCAGCCTGTTGTCTCCCCCCCCCCCCCCCCCCGCCCCGCCCCGGGACAGCTGTGCGGAGCGACCAGCTATCGCTGGGAAACCACTCATCTCTCTCTGCACAGGCGGCTGAGGGACCAAGAACCGCAGGCTGTTGTTCACCTGAGCCTGGCACCACCTGGTCGTGGGTCAACCTATAGCCAGGCTGACCAGGTACCTCAGGAGGCCCCTTCGACCCCAAGAACTCTGGGCCAGACCAGGAAGCCAGGCTCCAGCTGCTGGTTGTGCAACTGTCAGGAATAAAGGGGAACCTGGTGAGTCCGACAAGTGAGAGGCGTCAAGAATTCTGCAGGTGAAGGGGCCACAAAAGAAATCCTGGTCAGCTGAAACTGGTTTGGCTCAGTGGATAGAGCGTCTGCCTGCGGACTGAAAGGTCCCGGGTTCGATTTCCGGTCAAGGGCATGTACCTTGGTTGCGGGCACATCCCCACTAGGGGGTGTGCAAGAGGCAGCTGATTGATGATTCTCTCTCATCAATGTTTCTAACTCTCTATTCCTCTCTCTTCCTCTCTGTAAAAAAAATCAATAAAATATATATTTTTTTTAAAAAAGAAAGAAATCCTGGTGTGGGGGGGGAGGGGGGGGGCCCACACACACGGACGGACACGACAGAACCCAGCTCCTGGCACCAGGCCCCTCACATGCTCAGGCCGGGCAGTCCAGATACCTCAAAAAATGGACAAAGGGGGTCCCGGGCCCCTGGATGCACTCCCCCCTTGGCACCCCTTCCCATGGGATCGATGCAGCTCTGGGCCACGCTGGGGCGGGGCATGGGGAGCACCCAGCCAGTTGGTCGTAAACAGCTGGGGGCGAGGAGAGCCACAGCCGCGTGGTGCTTGCAATTAATAAATCACTGCCTTTAAAAAAACAACAGCACGTGTTGTCCAAATACTGAAAATGGGATCCATTATACAAACTCTCTTAACAAAAAGCTGGAGAGTGGAACCTTGGGAAGACGTTCACACTCCCGTTTAGAAGCTCCGCATCTTATCGACTTAAAATGCCTCAGGTCGAAAATCCACCATATTTCAGGTTTGGCTCAGTGGATAGAGCATCAGCCTGGGGACTGAAGGGTCCCGGGTTCGATTCGGGTCAAGGGCATGTGCCTTGGTTGCGGGCACATCCCCAGGAGGGGGTGTGCAAGAGGCGGCTGATCTCTCATCGATGTTTCTAACTCTCCCTTCCTCTCTGTAAAAAAAAAAATCAGTAATATATATATTTTTTTAAAAAGAAAAAGAAAATCCACCATATTTCAGAGCCTGTGAAACACGGTCAGTAGGTAAGGATGTGAACTTGGTGCATTTCTCTGAATCAGCGGCAAAAGATGATCTTCACAGAGCAAACTGGGAAGCCCCCACGTCTTCCAAAGAAAGGGCTGTGTGGAGGGTCCGAGGCCAGAAATGCAGCAGAGGCCATGAACTGTGGCTGCAGGAAGGGGGTGGGGTGGGGGGGGGGGGGAAGGAGCAGGCCTCTGGTGGGAGGAATTCCAGGGCCCCGGGCTGCTGCCTGTCTGGGCCTTCCCAGGCAGATGCACAGGCACGCCCCCGCCCCCACCGCTCCCCCCGCCCCTGCGTGGCGACAATCTGGCTGCCCCAGCTGAATGGAGCAGGCTCGACCTCTGACCTCCCAAGTGACCACCCTCTTCCCTGCCCCCAGCTTTCCAGGAGGCCCCACCCACTGCCTTCCTCTCCCAAAATTTCTAAAATACCAGGCAGAGACAAAGACCGAGGAATGCGGGCCCAGGGGGAGAGGAAGGGGGGGCGAGGGACACAAATAAATAAATAAAAATACCAAGCCAGGCAGGTTTACCTTAGCCAGAGCTTAAATAAAGTGCTTTGTTCATGAAAGGAGACTTTTCCTAATACCTGCGACCCCACCAGGAACTCACCCACACCGCACAT